CCCCTCCCCCCCAACAACCTGCCCCTTATCAACCACCTCCCCCTCTTTTACCTTCCCATGTTTCAAATCCCGCTGCACCCCCCTCTTCCCTCTCACACTCAATCTCCCCTCCCTCCTCTTCTCCCTAAACACATCTTCCAGACCCTCGCCTTTCCCTTTCGCCTCCAGAACCTTCTCCGCCATCTCCACATTCTCAAACCCGCCCTGCTCTCTCCACCTTTTCCTCTCCCGTCTTCCCGTAACCCTCCCCATCAAACCGCCCTTCTCTTGCTCACTCTCCATAAACCCCCATACTTCCTCCAGAACCCCACATCCATGAATGGTTTTCTGTACAGCTTCCTTGAGAGCTTCGGGCTCGAGGGCTTGCGCGTCGCGCTGTCCCTGGACGATCTGCGCTTTGCGGATGAAATGCGTGGGTTGTCGGCCTTTCATGAGTTCTTTGTGGGCGCCTTTGAGGGTGTAGGCGAAGGGTCCGAAGATGGCCGCGAGATCTTTCAACACGAAGCCGGTGAGACCGATTCCGACGCCTTTCACGAAGCCGATGGGTCCGTTGTCTCGAGCTCCTCGGTAGGGTTGGACGACCACGCCGGTGACGCCGTCGTAGATCCCGTAGCGGAATTCGTCGGCGGCGGCTTTGAGGCCGGATTTCATCCCTGTAATGCGTGTTGGTCTGGTGATCATATGGTTAGTTTTGTTCAAGAGGAAGAAAGGATGAGCAGAAAGGGGATTGAACATACCGTCTCACAGTAGTATCTCCATACAATCTCGGAGCATTATGGAATCCCTGCGCAACAGCCAGTGATAAATCCATCGGAATACGAGCCATAGCTTCGGCAGTTTCCCCCAGTCCTTTGCCCACGTCTTTCGTCATGTCTTCAGCCATAGTGTCGTTGGGGTCCGCGGAGATCATGGACTGTCGGTCTTCGGGTATGTTGTACTCGAACCCATGTTCGTGTTCTATACGTTCATCTCGACGTTTTTCGTCTTTCTTCTGCTGTTGTAATGATAAGGGTTCTCCAGTTGATGTATGTTGACCCAGAGGGGAAATCGGAGAATGGATATCTCTTGCTTCAGTTGTATCCAATTTCTCGGCTGTGGGTTTCGTGGAGTCTTCTTTGTCTGCCGCGCCATCCGTAGTTTGACCAACAGCATCAAAAGATTTTTCCGCAATACCTTCACTCTCAAGACCATTCACAGCTTTCCCACTTTCCTTCCTGCCGTCTGCAATTGTATCTCTCCCATTCCCACTTCGCTTAGCCTTCGCAGCTTCAGCCTTCTTCTTTTTCCTCTCCTCGTGCATCGCCCGCTTCTTAGCAGTTCTCGCTAATCGAAAGGGCACACTACTAATCCCACTTGCCATCCCCGTAACACTTCTCATGATGGCAGTAGCACCACCAGTCAATGGCTCACCAGGTCCCTCAAAGTCATTCCATTCATTGTGACGAATCAGTCGAAGTTGTTTCCAAGTGATCTTTTTCCGTTCAACCAGAAGCTCCGCAGCAAGTGCACTAAGTCGTAGATTCGTATTTTTGAGTGTCCACACAGCTACTCTGTCTTCCAGAATTGAACACCTCATCGAATGTTCGCCACGTAAAACAAGGCTTCGATGAAAAGAGGTGACCGCATTCTTAGCCCCATCACCTTCCGCCTCAATATTCTTCGCCATTTCCTCAGCCGCTGCCTTTGCTTCATCAGTTAGACAGTACTTAATACCATCCGCTAGTTTATCAGCCGTCAAGTTCTTATAAGGAACCGGTTCAGCTCCCGCACCCGCTTTCCCAATCATAGATCCCCAGAACTGTTGGTCCCCAAAGAATGGGACGACCATTGTCGGTTTGCCACATTTCAATCCAATAGCAGTCGTGCCAGCTCCACCATGATGTACAACAGCACTGACCTTGGGAAATAGCCAGTCGTGAGGTGTGTTTTCAAGCATGAAAATACTATCAGGTGTATTATTCTCACCTCCCAGTCCTCCCCACCCTTTAGATACCAAAGCTCGCACTCCTGCTTTCTCTACTGCTTCGAATATCATGGTGGTGAATTTATCAGGGTCATCAACAACTATGGATCCGAAACCAATGTAAACAGGAGGTTCTCCGGCATCCAGGAATTTGACCAAATCCTCAGGAGGTTCAAATTTCGAAGCCAGATCCAGAAAGACGAAACCAGCGATATCGATTTCTGATCCCCAATCCGGTGGTTTTGGAATGAGACCCGGAGACCAGAGGTACGTGTATGGGACTTTCATTCGATATAGTTGACCAGGGGCCCATAACGTCGATACGGGCTCAAGACCAAGTGTCTTGACGCGGAAGGAGTTGATCAGATCACCAAGCCTATCAATGTTAGCGCGTATAGATATAAAGGACTATATGCAAAGACTCACCCCTGCCAAGTCATCATTTCTACCAAAGGGTATGACATGAAATTCGCATATCCAGGATCAACATTGGTCTTCTTGATATTCGCCAGAGGATGAGGAAAAGACTGCGTCGGGCTATAAGGAAACGTAAACATCAGATGCAAAGGTATCCCAAGTCGTTCAGCACAATGAATGTGAGCAAAAGACGGCGGATTGGCGATAATAGCATCCGCCACAAAAGGCGCCTTAGCACCCATCATCTTCAGATTATGTGTATCCTTCTCATCATCCGTAGCATTGATACAAGCGCGCCAGAACCCCTCGAACATTTCCGCCATTTGTTCCCGTCGTCGGCCAACCTCTCCCTTCTTGAGAGTTTCCATCGTAGGGATCATACCGGGATTCTTCACCATAAAAGCCATTAATTCCGCCGGATCACCACCAACAGAGAAAAACTCTAGACCAATATCACTTTCCACGAAATCTTTAAACGCAGGATGCGTCGCAATTCTGACTCTATGTCCATATTCCTGTAGATTCTTACCCAGTTTCAGAAATGGCTGTATATCGCCACGACTCCCAATCACCATGACGACGATATTCAGCTTCGGCCGCAGTAAATCGGACGCAATCGTCGTCGACGAAGAAGTATGAGAAATATCCGGGTTCGCCTGCTTGTGGAGAAACGTAGCACCCAACGCCTTGGCCAAATACCCATGATCATTCGTCTCATTGACACTGATATTCAGTCTCCCATCCCGCCTCGAAACCTTTCCCCTCGTCTTGAAATCATCATTCCCAACATTGAACTTATGAAAATTCCCACTACCAGACCTAGATCTCTTATCACGGCCATGTTGTTTACTTTTGGCATGATTCTTTGGTGAGATGACTTCGTCTTCGTCGGAGGATGAGCTCGAGGAGGAGGAATCGTCGTCGTGGGGTTGATCCCAAAGGGCAGCATTTAATGCAGGGACATTCGTTGCATTTCGGGCGAGGATAGATGGGAGGACAGAAGATCGATATGCTGGTTTGGGTCGTTCGGTTTGCCAATTTCGAGGTACAGCTGGTCTGGGGTTTGCACCTTCTGTAGTTAATCTGCTTTCCCCTTTGAGTTGTAAGGGATCGCTGGCACTTGGTTGGAGGGTAGCGATTGCTGGATCGCTACCGCGTCTGGCTGCAGCCATGGTTGTGAAGGAAGGTGGTTTCTCGATTCTAGTTCGAGTTGTGCTGCATCACAGTTGAAAATTATTTGACGTGGAAAAGTGGAGGATCGTTGTCAAGGTAGAGACTTCACGTAAAGGGCTTCTTCTTCAGCAGAAGTGGTGGTTGTTTTTGTTGCACCGCGCATGGCAATTTACAAAGTCGATCGCAGCTCCAGGCATGGCTTGCCTGGTCAGGGAGCAAGGTTGAGTGTCGTCATAGTTGTGGCGCCGGACCACAAGCTCCGTCCAGTCAGCGGCCCCTGACGCCCCTGACCGGGTATTTCGCGTAGTACTGCCACAGCAGGGTACAGTACAAACCAGGTCCGCTAGGTAGCCCGTTGTCCCTTAAACTCAATTTACGACCGGGAATAAATCAAGGAAAAGCGAAGAACCACCCAACTTAATTCCAGACGATCAGTTTTCCGTCGCGAAACAACACCAATTAGAGAAATGACCACACTCGAGGCAGTGCAGAGAGACGGACTAAGCTACAGAACAGCTCAGCATGACCTGGCAACAACATACGAGGATCGCTGTACCATGTACCAAGTACCCTGCGTTAGCCAGCGCATAAGGGAATATTCCGTTCCTTGACTCTACTCGTATCTCATGAATATTTCTCCTAGTAATTATATACATATTGAAAGGAGTAGAGATGCAGGCACCAGACTAGCACGGCAATCCTATAGAATGTATCATACACCCGGATTGCGCCCAACTAACCTTTTCCACGATACATCTACCGAAAAAATCATAGAATAACAATATTAGTGGCCAGTCGATAAGTAATACCTAAGCTAAGGATGCTTCATCGAAGATTTGCCCTCCAGTCCTCTCGCTCGGGCGTGTTGTTAAGACTCCTTTCGTTATTCCCATCATCTCTCGACTCCCAAAGTCGAACTTGAGCATTGTCAAATCGGACACCATCAACCCAGCTCTGCTCATCATCACCATTCTCTCTACCTCCATAGAGTCCTCGAAATCCAGTACTTGTCAGACCCGGGGGAGATTCTACTCTTCTCCGTGACGGCGTTGGTGGTGCCTGATCAACAGCTCCATCATGATTGCTGTAGAGCTGTCGTGATGACGATCTCGTTGTTCCATGCACCGGAGCCGTCCATGCTGGGTGATATCTCGATCGATGTCTAGCTTCAGGGAGATGATCTGGAGTTTGGGGCTGCACATCAGGCGATAGATCATCGTTGTAAACTCGATACTCACGGGGTGTATGAGATGGTCCATTTCTGGGAGAGGAATCAACGGGATATTCTCTTCGTGGCGTTGCTGAGACAGATGTTGGCGACGAGTGAGAATGCCGTGCAGAAGGACTTCTCAGCGTCGCATGAGCTCTAACACTCGATACTATTCGTGATACGAATCTAGCTGGCGTGAGAGGACGACTTGACTAGAATGGTTTGTCAGTTAGAATTCTTTGCAACATTGGGGTGCGAATTACCTGGTGGGTTAAGGATACTTCTCGGCTGGTCGCTTGACTTGGGCTTGGACTCTGTGGTCTTTCTTCGCCAAAGATGTTAGGAACTGTGGGAGAATCTGCTCTCAGTGGACTTGTATGCGGATTTGGGGGATGATATGATGATCCTGGAAGGCTTCCGGTATTGGATGAGTCGCGTGAAGATGATGAGAATGGGGGCGGCAAAGTAAGATTGTGGGATGAAGTTTCCTCTTCATCACTTTCTCTTTCTTCATCATCCTCCTCGTCATCGATTTCACTTAATGCAGGCGAAGAGAAGATAAATTCCCTGTGGCGACTCAGCTCGGGGACTGTTGCAGATTCGGCATCCTGTGTGGTATTCGTGGTAGTATCATCTTCATAAGTTGCTGTGCGAGAGCTCCCCAACGAACTGCCGCGCAGCTCCTCTCGTAAGGATATCTCATCAGATGGCCTGGTTGTATTTGTCGAAGCTGATACGGTCCGCTCTTGTTCATAGGCGGCACTTGACCTCTCGGATTCGTCAAACGAGAAGCTATTTGTCTGATGGCGCAAGGTTCGTGGACTACGTCCAGGGTGTCTTGAAGGCCTTCGCGGAGGCTCCGAGAAGAGAATTCCAGGCGTCCCATGCGAAGCAACCCGAGAAATCACACGAGGCGTAAGTGCGCATGTTGGGCGACGTTCTGGTGAGGCAGACATATTCTGGGAAAGGTAAAGTGGTGATCTTGGTAGAGGAACTCGAACTCCAACTCGATTCATAAGCCTTTCTGGTGGCTGGGGTGTAGAAACATCATCTGCATCCGGAGCTTCAACAAATTAGCATATATAAAACTCGCTGCTCTTGGGGCACTTACCAAAAAGCGAAGATATTTGAGACGAGCTATTTCCAGGACTTTCCACAAAGCCCCCGAAGTGGAAATCGTCATCTTTGATGGGTGATCGTGGTGCTACTTGCGAGTCTTCATTTTCTGGGGAAACATGCCTCTCAACGGATACATATCCATGCTCATCCGAACTGGACTTCTCTCCTTTTCTTGGTGATGCAGGTGGTGCTTCCACATTGATGAAGGACTCGGGTGATCTGGGTGGAATCAGTCTTTGGGGGTTAGATGACATGGCCTGCTTCTTCCGTGGTGACGGTTGTCGTCGGATGGTTACCCCTTTCAACTCCTGATTCGTTTCGGGAGCTTGTGAGTTGGGCGAACTGATGGTCAGTCTGTCAAAGTATGCTTCAACCGTACCTAGGTGTGCGCGCTTGTCAAAATCCCGAAGATCACTTTGTCCGAGGACGATAACTGTGGGTGGAAGTCGGATCATGGCTGCATCGTTGAAGATAGTTGACCTGGGAAGCTATTGCAAAGCTCGAGATGAAACATCGGAATCTGGTGTGTTGAGAGAAGGTGTTTCATTCTGGCATGCCAGATGGGCTCTATCGCGTAAAAAGCGAATACATACTGGCAAGAGCCGTTCTGGCCCAGAGCATATTTAGTTATCTGTTCACTTGATGCAAGCAAGAGCGATTGGAAATCATCTGGAAAATATTGGGTGACGCTGGCAATCGCAAACGAGGTTGGCCTTCAGAATTATTTTTGTTGTTGGCAGGAACGATTGAAGTTGAGGTTGACTGAAGGAATGGCAAGCGCGATACAGATGGCATTTCAAAACTGAAGGCTCTCACAACATCGCTCTCACAACATCGCCGCTCTCACGTCAGACCATTGGACATCGGGAAGCTCCCGAGGTGCATTCCCTGCAGCTGCGTGATGGTGTCATGGTGAAAAATAAAGTTTCTTCGGTTGAATATCCTTGAGGCGAGCAATCGGAGTGGTCATGTATCATATCGCCTTCTTTTCAAGGGACGTGACGCTTGTAGACGGAGAAATGAAGAAGCTTGCGACGGGTATCACAAGAAGTAAGTGAACATATCCAAAGCTTTGGAATCAATAACGCCATCGCCTCAGACCACTGGGGCCTGCAACTTCATCTCTACGGAAAGAATAGAGACTGGGTCAACAACCCGCTACACCAGGCACAATATAACACAAAAATAGCGGACTGGAAGCTCTTCAGGGAAACCGTCAACATAAGCATCCTCAACTCACCTCATCTCAGAACTCTCACAACCATGGAAAATCCAGCTACGGTAGACAACTCACTTAAAATCATCGAAGAACGGAATTCTCTTCTACAAGCTAGCCTCGATGCAATCGCTAGCGCACTCACAGAA